TACATGCTGAAATAACTGCTCTAAGTATTGAAGTAAAATCAGATATTCTAAATTCTATGATAGACAACAGTTTTTTAAGTAACTTTTTTAATGAGTTTGGAATGACATTTAGTAATAATGGGCAAAATTGTAGATTAGGTAAAGACACCAAACAAGTTTGTTAACAAAAAAACAATGTAACTGTATAACAAAATCAAAAAAAAATGTTATTACAAACGTTATTAAAAATGTTACATATTAGTAATACAAAATAGTTTTTGTGATCAAAGTAAAACATTAACCGGTGAAATGTAAAAATAGTTAAGAGTTTTGAACTTTGTTTGTTTTGTTTTTTTTTCTCAAAATCATGTTTTTTGAGCTGGCGACGGGGATATTTTCAAAACTGTTTATCAAATTATTTTGAAATTTGTCCTACTTATTTATTGTATTAGTATTTGCAACGTACACTAGATTTTGTGTCCTTAAATTACCCTATTTTAGCCCAAATTTAATAAAAAGCTAACATTTTATTGAGTTTTAAACCAAACTTAAATTTTTTAGTCCACTACATAATGACATACATAATTTATGTATGTCATTGTGTCGTGGACTAAAATTAAATCATAAATTATGAACGGTTGCTGAAAAATCTTCGTCACCCTTTACCCCATTTTTTAAACTTTAATGATTAATAATTTTTTTTCTTAATTTTTTACAATTTTTTTATGTTTCTAATAGCATTTTATACAATTTGAGAGAAAAAAAAATTGTTAAAGTTAAATAGAATTTTTTTTTCTAATTACTGTACTAGCACCTTAAAAGTTGTCCCGTAAAGAATTTAGCCTGCGAGACAATGCGAGATACCGCTAATAAAATTTTCACAGATGCAACTGACCATAAAAAGTAGTTTTTGTTAATGATCAGCTATTTGTTGATACCACTATTTTAAGATACCTGAGTAGAGATAAAAGTGTCAACGATGAGAATCGTCGTTGTCATTAGAATTAATTTACAAAAAAAAGAGATTTTACAAAGTTCGACATTTTTTTATTTAATAAAATTTTTTACCAGTTTTATATTATTTTGGTAAACACGTTTAACAAGCTCAGCTTTTGCAATTTGTGCTTTTACATGTAAACAATTTCCATTTTATTCATTTTCATTCCGCAATTGTTGGAATTTTTTTTTTTTTTTTTTTTTTTTTTTTTTTTTTTTGCTGTCCAGAAATATTTTTTTGCTTCTTCAAAGGTTGTATCTCAACTTCATCATTAACATTAAAGTTGAGTTTGCGATTCTTTTTTTTAACTTTTCAGCTAATCGAAATTACTAGAGGCGGCGGTGAAAAGCTTTTTTTTATTCAGCAAATGCAATTGTACAGCTTGAATATTCTTGAATACGTTAAAGAAGCTTAAAGAAGCTTGGCATCACCGAACTTCGCTCTGTTAGCTAACAGAGCTTTATTCATTAACTGTCTACATCTGAATATTTCAAAAAGAATCATGTCTGTTGTTTTTCCCTAGCATTTTTTAGAAAATATTTTTTTTAGCTTTCGTCATCCAACGTACATTGTATGTTGCACATGAAGCCCAAAACTTTACATCTAACTTTGAAGTTGTAATTGATACTTCAAGAAAAAAAAAGTTTATTCAAGAGTTCTAAGTAACCATCCCTGGTTTGTTGACCTTGAATTGATTCACAATAGTATACTAACATTTATTCACTGAGTTTGATAAGAAAATCGCATTTAAAAAGTTTTTTGATCTCTGTAGTGAACAGCTTCTTGTTAATTTTTGGCTGTTTTTTCTCAAAACGGTTTAAAATTCTCACTTCAAGTTAATTGGTTTCAAATGCATTTGTAAAAATAGTGGAAAACATGACTCCAAACACATGGTGTCCGCTATTCATACAAGTTTACGATCAAGGTTCCGCTCCATTGTTGTGCAGACACCAATGATCATTCGAGTGTTGGATGAAGTAGTGTCAAAACCAGTCTCCAAACTGTTCATTCAATTTATAATTGGTATAAAGTTTTTTTTTAAACTTTCTTTACGCATGATCAATTCTTCGAGTTTGTCTTCTTCCTCCCTCTTATATAACAAGAACTGCTTTAACTGTTTCCCGAATACCTAAATGACGGTAAAAGTAACTTCCGAAGAAAATCTTTTCTATAAAAAAGTCTGGCAATCGATAAAATGTTTCTAAGGTTACCGAATAACTACACCTCAGCACGGTTGCCTTCTAACTATTTCTAAATTAAACAAAAAGTAACATTTTTAAATTCAAATATTTTTTAAAAGTCTTTTTCTCAACTTCGAGATGTATATATATATATATATATATATATATATATATATATATATATATATATATATATATATATATATATATATATATATATATATATATATATATATATATATATATATATATATATATATATATATATATATAACTGTAAGTTACTTTGTATAATGTATGTTTTTGGTCTTTCTGAACCTCTGGTGCAGTGTTTATTCACCCGTAAGTTACTATATATGTGTTTGTTTTCTGATTGCTTGTTTGTTTACCCATAAGTTACCATATGCTTGTTTGTGTTCAATCTGAATCTCAGGCGTGCTAGCTCACCCGTAACTTACTATATGTATCTCTGAACCACTGGCGTGGTGTTAGCTCAGTGACTGAAATGTGAATGCGACCATATAACAAACCCCTCAATTTAATATCCAGTATCCCTTTACAGAATCATTTTTATTAAAGTATATTTAAAAACCTTTGAGCAATATATTAAAATACTGCTTACAAAACTTTATTTAACTTGAGCATGAACTAACTACTTCAAGTTAGTTCATGCCCAAGATTATATGATCATCCTTGAAAGATTTGATTTTCCAGGCTAAGGCTAAATTTAGCAATAGCCTGGAAAATAAAATCTTTCTGCAGGATATGGGACAGGTTGTAGTGGATTACATGTTACCAGAGGTAGGATGATCATATAATCTTGAGCATGAACTAACTTGAAGTAGTTAGTTCATGCTCAAGTTAAATAAAGTTTTGTAAGAAGTATTTTAATATATTGCTCAGAAGTTTTTAAACCACACGACAGAGATTGTATCTTTTATAAAAGATACAATCTCTGCCGTATGGTTTTTGGTTTAAAAATGCTAAAAGAAGTGTCTTGATAAAAATACTCATTTTTGTCAAACGCCATATGCATCTAACTGTTGTCTTGTCAAAGAATTTCTAGTCAAAGACTTTTGGGGTGAGCAAAAAATTCTGCTGACAACTCTTTCACCCCTACTTTATCTATAAGTGTGTGAAGGAGGGAGGGGGGGTGAAGGCGTAGTTGTAAACCTGTGTTACAATGTATCCTGCGTAAGACAATGAATTCTAAAATCTTTTTGATTTAACTGGGATATAAGCACTAACACAAATACACTATAGAGTGCTTGTGTTAGTGCTTTTGTTGCAAATCTTTAATTAAAAAAAAGTAATCATTTTTAGGTTAATTAGCAAAACTAAGATAACTGAATATCTTATTTTTTAGGATACCATGGTTTTAGGATACCATGATTGGTTCAAGTTTTCTAACAACTTAAAATATTGCTAAGTATTTTAAAATAGCATCTGTGCTATTTAAAGGCACCTGTGCTATTCAAAAGTACCTATGTTATTTAAAAGCACCTGTATCATTTAATGACACATGTGGCTTCAATTTTTTTAAATTTTAAAAATGGAGTATACTCTGACCCCTTTACCTATCAACAAATCAGTTTTCACTTTATTGATAGTTAAATTATTTCTTTTTAACTATAGCATCAAGCAGTGTGGTGCTACTCGGCAAAGTTTACATTTAATTATTGTAAAGTTTATATGGCGGGACAGCACAGTTGGTTTAAGCGTCAAAGGAAAAGTTAAAACACGGACTGTTGAGCGATACAAGTTCAAATCCCGCCACCGCCAACTCAGCGCTTGAGTAGTACTTCGGTACGCAAAAATGTTAGTTAATAACGGAAGCTACTTTGGATTAGTCTTAATGACTATTTGTGGCTGTTCCTATGCTAAGCCAATAATATCTTCGGATATAAGAACATTGTATAGAAAAATATAACATGAAAACTCAAATAAATAAATAAATAAATAAAAGCTAAGGCTTCTGGGATGTTTAGTACAGCAAGATTGTAAACATTAATAATAAAATATAAATGAAAAGTTACTGTTTATATTTTGTTATTGAATGGTTTAATTATTTTTCTTTTTAAAATACTATAAATTGTTTGAATGAAAAATATAAAATACTGAATAATGTCAGCTGGATTTTGCACAGCTCCAGTTGTTAGCATAAGCGAGGAAAAAAATGTTAACAAAAGTGTGTCATTTTTTTGCTTGTCTAAAGTCAATTTATTTGACTATTTAAAATTTTAAATATTTACACATATTTCAATAATTTTAGAATTAGTATTTTTATTGTTTACAGAGTTTAGAAAATTTTCTAAGAATAAAGTTTTGCTTTTACTTTGTATCAAATGGGTACCACCAAAAACAAAAGTTCGAAATTTATTTTTTTTAATGGCAATTTTGCCATCATGTGCCTAAACAGACTTCATATTGAAAACAGTAATACTTGATTAAACATATTATTGCTGAGTTTATTGATTTATGTATTAAGGCCATAAGGTTTTGATAAATGTTTCTTGGTATGATTAATTGGAATAATTAGTTAGTAAAAATCTTTTGATAGATGCATATTTTGAAAATTATAGTTGCTTTTTTGTAGTTAATATTGATTTGAACATTGGTTTGAAAATTGTTGTAATAATTTATTGTCAATAAATATTAACTGGGAATAAATTGTGCTAATAAGTATTGAGTTAAGAATAAGAAAACATTTTTACATGAATGTTTATGATGAGGTTTATATTGAATGAAGTTTATATTGAGGCCGTGAGAGCATTTTCAAATAAAGTTTATTTTGAGGACAAGAAAACATTTCAATATAGTGAATATGAACAACAAATAACTACTTCCACACAAAAACAAATACATTTATTAGAGTTCTGAACTTTTTGCGTTCTATAAATTAAATAAAATACAGCAATCTTTCAACTTTTTTTTAATGTTATTTTATAATTTCATCAATCCATGGTTTAAAATAAGCAACATTGGCAAAAACAGTATATGCTTTAACTGATTGACAGTCATCGGATCCGTGACTCACTGCGCCATGTACTTCCCAAATTCCATTTTTGTAACAGATTAATGGACCACCACTGTCACCATGACAACCAGACATTGGACTACTTCCACCATCTCCAGCGCATATCATAGAATTTGTTATAGGCCAAGGTAAGTTTCTTGAGTTTAAAGTATGACACTTACGTCTGTCGACAACGTTCATATTTCCTTGTTGAAGAATATGTGTCATTTGTCCAGGATACGCAACTTTTCCCCAACCTAAACAAAAAACATTGAAATGAAACAAGACTTTTAAACAAATATTCTATTCTGTTTATTCTAAAAAAAAGAGTTTATTAAAAACATTTCTAAACAAATGTTTATTCTGTAACTTATTTTTAATTAAATTTAGTAAAATTTTTTTAAATATTTTTTACTTAAAACAGCTAATTAAGTTACTGAATAATCTCTGTTACCATAACCTTCATAGAAAAGCTGTAATTACAACCAATTGTATTTGTAACTTTTAAAATGAATAAGATTTCTTCAATACTACTAATAAAGAAACTATTACTTACGTCAATTATTTTATTATTTAAGGACGTAGCGTATAAAAACAGTTTAATTAAAAATTAATGTCTACTCTTTTGGTTTATGCTTCCACTTGGTTCGTAGATGCTAGAATATTTTTTAAACTTTTAACAGACTCGTGTAACAAAGAGTCGAAAAAAAAAAGTAATTCAGTAATGAATCATATTTTGTATTGATTTAAATTTATATTGTTCTTACAAGTAATAGTTTGAAATAATTAATTAACATTAATTAAGTTTATTTAGGCTTTAATTAAGTTTTTTAAATTGACATCTGTTTAAAAACTATTATAACATTATAAATTTTTGTTTAACTTGTATGTATGTATGCATACATATAACATTGTCATGATTAAAGATTGTAAATAATGTAATATAATTAATAAGACATGTTAATAACACTTTATGTTGCTTTTTCTATTGATTTTCTTAATATAAATTAATATAAATATAAATATAATATTAATATAAATTAATATGTCAAGCTTGGTTAAATACTCTTAATTACTAAGATTATTAGTGTAATACAGAACGTGATGTATATATATATATATATATATATATATATATATATATATATATATATATATATATATATATATATATATATATATATAACAAGCTTATTACCAGCTATATAACAAGAAGCTCCTGTCGGAACTTCATCGTTTGGTAAACAAGCTGTAGATACGTAATCAGTAATTTTAAATGGTCTGGAAAGTTTAATCAGGGCAATATCGTTATTTGCGGTGCGTGGATTGTACGATGGATGGATGAAAAAATCTGCAGCTGGAATATCTTCTTCGGTTCCTTCTTGAATGTTTATATTGTGTTCGCCTCCGCTATAATAAATCAAAATTTTATTTATGTGAAATATCTTATGGACTTAATAAATATATAATATTAATAATTGATCTTTAAAAAATTAATGGGTAAAAAAAAGTACTACAATAACAATAAAAAAAAGAAAGAAAATCTCAAGATTTAGCAATGCCTAAAGCGTTAAAAACACGGTTTAGTGACCGTGTTACGTAAAAATCATTGTTAATTTAAGTAAATTTAATTACCGTAAAACATGTTGTTGAGCGTTTGTCTTGTTTAAGCAATGAGCAGCAGTGAGTATCCAGTTCGGAGCAATAAGTGTTCCACCACAAATCGGTATATTGTTATTTAATATCAATATTTGCCATGGCCAAGAGCCACGTATTGCTGTTGTCCCACCAATTACTTTGCCTCGTTGAAACTTAGACGTACCACATCCTTTACATGAAAAACAAACATATTAAACATTTTATAAAAAATAAATTCAATAGTGAATATTTACTAACTAATATTTACTTTAGTTTCAACTCTTATGAGTTATTACTATTCTATTCTATTCTAATATTATATATATATATATATATATATATATATATATATATATATATATATATATATATATATATATATATATATATATATATATATATATATATATATATATATATATATATATATATATATATATATAAATAGGGTAGCTTAAATTTAGTTTTTTTATGTTAAATTTTGAATTGCGGTTTTGTGGTCAAACCTCGTCCGGCTAATTGCCATTTACTCAGGCTACATACTAAGGCCCGTGAAGACGAGATTAGCTCACTTAAGAACATCATAACTCGTTTCAACGGACCAAGAGTAATTAAGTTTAGAACAATGAGTATCAGAGTGAAAAAGAAAGCAATTCGAGTTAGAACGATAGAAAATAGATAGCGGACATATATTGCACTGGACATTAGAATTCATTATTCGGTTATAACGAATTTATGTTTATTGAATTACGGATTTATCACTATGACAAGGTTTGTCACTGCAATGAAATTTGTTAAATTTTACGTATCTTGTGTTAATAATGGCTTATGAGTTGAAATATAAAGTTTTAGTTTAGGACTAATTTTGTTAAGCTGCAAGTTCATATTGAAGGAAAAAGTGTTTTCAAAACCCAATAGATATAAAAATTGAACAAATCGTCACAAAAATTTAACTTAAGTAAATTTATTTAGTATACTTTCGCAAATCATCTTGAATAAACTCACGATTAAACAACTCATAAGTTTATTCAATTTTATTTTTAAAATCAGTTGTTGATTCGTGCAACTTTTAGACAACTTCGTAAATTTTATGGCGTAATCGTCCATTTGAGCCATTTGTTGAACAGTGGGTAGATATTGCACCACACACTCTTTTGAGAATGGAATAATATCATCACGTTGAAGGAATGTGCATGTTGAATAAAATATTGCCGTAATAAACGGAAGTATTTAAGAAGTTTTAAATATATTAATTTGTTGTTGGTCACAGGTATTGGGGCTCTGTCCACCAATTACACCCGTATAAGATCCATCTGGTGTAGGAAATGAAGCCACAAGATTATTGATTGTATTTAGCCATGACGCTAATTATTGTTAAACCATTAATCAGTTAAGCAATAATTCTGCATGTGAAAGAGACTGATACACAAGACATCCTACAAACTTTATCACATCCAAAAAATGCACCGTTTGGTGGGGTTTACAAGCTGGTAGCATCATCATACTTTATTAATTGTTTATTTCCTGCACTTTCTGCAATTCAGCGCAACTGCAATGAACAGTAAATCCATATTAAATTTGTTTATATGCAGTACACAAATTTTAATAAATTTTAAAATCAAATACTTGTACATTGTGAAAGTATTGCTCTAATTATACAACCTTTTATTTAAACTGTGTTTTACTTGCAGTGTTTTTAAATGTTTTTATTATAAAACTTTTGAAGTAGATTAAAACAACTTTGGATTAAAAAATTACTGAATAATAAAATAAAATATAAACTGTTTAAAAAACTTGGCTGGGTAATATACTAAATTTTATTGGCTAACACAGTGTGTATGTATTATTGTTTTACAAAAATTTTTATTTCAAATAAAAATTTTGTAAAATATATTTTAAACCTAGTTAGCTGGTCTGAAGCATTATCATAATTATCTTAAGTTTTTATTTAAAATATTTTTGTAGAATATTATTTAAAAGATAATTTTGATGTTAATCAATGCACAGTACGGTTATGACTTGAATATTTTTTGCTGCAAAATTTTGTATCTACTGTGCTCGCATGATGATCTTTTGTAAGCTAATTATTTAAAAATAATTACTATTACTAGTTTTTTTTTTAACATTTTAAAATTAAAAATTGTTTAAAAATGTTTAAAAAACTTTACGTTGTTTGAAAGTTTTTTTTTTTAAACTTACTATAAAACTTCGTTTCTATTGAGATCCAACTTAATTTTCTTTTAAAGAGAAATATATTTAAAGTAACATAAGAAACTGTCGAAGGGTTCCCACACCAAAACACCCTACTGTCGTAGGTTGTTTTGGTGTGGGAACTTTTTTTGAAATGAACGAAATAATTGTGGTTTTCCTAAATTAGTATTAAAATGTTAATTGATTCCTTTTTCATCCTTTTTTTTTTTTGTCATAACTCTCATGCACTGTGATCCAGGGCCTTGCTATAAATACAAAATAAAATTGTTTAATATTCAAAATTGTTTTTAAATAGAACTATATATGTTGTGCGAGGAAACAGTTTTAATTTTCAAAGTCCACAACCTCTTTGCAATTTGTATAAGCAAACTTTTAAACATGTCTAACCCTACCAATGTCACAGATATATTTGAATATTTGAAATGTTTGAATTTTTGAATGGTTTGAATATTTGAAAACTACTTATATGAAATTTAGTGGATTCACATAAAATAATATAAAATGTAGTAATTTATATGAAATTTAGAGGATAAAATCAAAATAATTTAAAACCTTGAAAAATTTAAAAAAGAGCAGTTTTATAAGTAATGTTTTTTGTAGCGGAATATTCTAGAATGAAAGCGGATAAAACGAATAAATATAAACTTTCATTAGCAAATTGAAATGCTGCGGTTTAAAATTATTTTTTTTCGTTTAAAAAACAGTGAAGAGTATCAAATACATGGAAAAATAATAATAAGCAATAATAATATTATTAATTATAATAATATCATATATTTATTACATTGGAAGTAATTCTTATTCACAGAAATTAATATTTTTATAATAATAGTCAAAATAACAATAAAGATTTTATGAATTTTGAAAGTCTCCAAGAAGGAGAGCGTAAATTACTTTTAATATTTTTATTTATATTTTGTGTGAGGTTTTAAAAACTTAAAACCTCAATATTAATTTAAATTAATTATTTTAGGTGCTCCGAGAAGTCCTTACAGTTTTATCAGAGAGCACGACAGAAGAGCATTTGAAAAATGTTTAAGTCTTTTTTTACAAATTTTTTAACAATATTGAACTATTTATATATAAGTAATTGCTGTATTGGTGATATGGGTTCTAAATAAATTTACTTTGTTAAGAGAAATTAAAAAAAAACATGCTTCAAATAATTGATGAATTTACCTTTTTTTTTACAGTAGAGTTATTACACGTGTCATTACTTAATATTTAAATATAGTTTTTTAAAAGCATTGCTCAGGCATTTGTTAAATATGTCCTTGTTAAATAAGTATGTTCTAGGAGTGCTGTTGTCCTACATGTTTATGCAATCTACTAAGTTGTCATAAATGTACCATATGTTCTCCAGCGAATATTTTATGAAAAAGACAAATATAAGTCTGTTAAATAAGATTAAATTAGGTAGTTAAATGTAAATTTTATAATTTGTTATTAGTGTTCTGTTGTGTTTCTCGTGTGTTCTGAATGTGTACGACATTTACCAAAGTGAACAAAAAATGTACATCATACAATTGAACACTAAATATTAAGTACAAAATGAAACAAATAAAAAATGTGTAACATTTTTTATTAGTTTTGATTATGATATACTTTTCCGCGGTGCTCTGTGACAAGACCGTCACAGAGAATTGTCAGACTCGAGAAGGTCTTCTTGAATCTGACGAAAACAAAAAATATATAAAGAAAAAGAAGACAAATTATGATTTTTAAAAATTTGATAATTAAAAAGATTTAATTTTTTCTTGTTCTCTCCTTCTTTTTTCCCCTCTTTTTTTTTTTTTTTTTTTTGTTTTATGGAAAGTTATTCATGATATGAAACATAATTGTTTAGTAGAGTGTTGATCTTTGAAAAATAATCAAGAAAAAAATGTTATATTAAACAAGTATACATTATATATTGATAATATTTTCTTCCGCATAATTTTATATCTAATTCTGAACTAGAATATATTTAAAATAGTTTTCACTTTCAAATAAAAATACTACATAAATGTGTGTGTATGTTTGTATTTTTATGAAATAGTTAATATTTAATTAAAGTATTTAAACTATCATTTTATATTGTAAACGTAACAAGTAATAAATGTCCTATAGAGACTAAAAAGCATTTTCATGTTTAATTCTGGACTAGATATAATTCAATAGATATAGAAAAATTAATAAAAAATTAGATAGACTCTATAAAGAATATTAAAAAGCACTAGTTATAGTAAAAATTTTAAAAAATAGCGTGGCAATATTTCAAGGGTCACAAAAGATAATGTGTTTGTAACTTTGTTAGGTGTGTAGAATAAATTAAAGCAGCTGGTGGCAGTACAAGTGGACTTGCAAAGTGTTCACCAAATAAATGTACTTAAATGAGATGCTAATGAAGGTACAAGAATTAGTAACAAGTACCAGTAAAAAATATAACGAAGATACAACAAGAATAAACTGAATAACATTATATTTAAATAATAACACAGATCAATCATTTTCTGCAAATGTTTTTTGCTTTTGTTATGTAAAGAGATTTTGAAATTCCTAAATCTGCAAACACGTACAAAAAATTTTTGTTGAGAAAACGTTAAAAAAGAAATGATTCATAAATTGCAATCTTTAAAAGTAAAAGATATGAAGTTTAATTTAACATTAGACAGGTGGACATCACTGAGGATAAGCGGCAAATGAATGTTAATGTTCTTGACAAATTTTTCTTTTTTTAATATTATCTGAATTGGCCTTGTTTAACCTTGATTTTAAGAACTGTGCTGTCAGTTCTACTGATGGAGCTGCAGTAATGGAGCGAGTTGGGCAACTTTTATAGATTAAACATCAAGCAAAAAGCATTTCACGAGCCGTACTTTTACACAGAAAATATAGTTCTACTAGGGAGCAAGAAAATGAAAATGATTCATTAACAAACATAGATGAAATTTAGTTTGATTCTAATGAGGAAATTAACACTAACATAAAAATAAATGT